AAAGGAGTAAGGGGAGGAGGCCGGCCGGCCCTATAGGCGCGCCAAGGAGGAGTCCTCCTCCTAGTAGGAGTAGGACTCCTACTAGGAGGGGGAAGGAAGTGGGGAGGGAGAAGGAAAGGGAGGCGCCGCCCCCCCTCTCCTAGTCCAATTCGGACCAGGGGGGAGGAGGCGCGCGACCCACCCTTGCTGCCCCTCTCTCTCTCCACTAAGGCCCATATGGCCCATTACTTCTCCCGATAGGGTTCCGGTAACCCTTCGGCTCTCCGGTTTTCTCCGAAATCACCCGGAACACTTCCGGTGTCCGAATATAGCCATCCAATATATCAATCTTTATGTCTTGACCATTTCGAGACTCCTCGTTATGTCCGTGATCACATCCGGGACTCTGAACTAACTTCGGTACATCAAAACTCATAAACTCATAATATAACTGTCATCGAAACCTTAAGCGTGCGGACCCTACGGGTTCGAGAACAATGTAGACATGACCGAGACACGTCTCCGGTCAATAACCAATAGCGGAACCTGGATGCTCATATTGGCTCCTACATATTCTACGAAGATCTTTATCGGTCAAACTGCATAACAACATACGTTGTTCCCTTTGTCATCGGTATGTTACTTGCCCGAGATTCGTTCGTCGGTATCTCAATACCTAGTTCAATCTCGTTACCGGCAAGTCTCTTTACTCGTTTCGTAATACATCATCTCGCAACTAACTCATTAGTTGCAATGCTTTCAAGGCTTATGTGATGTGCATTACCGAGAGGGCCCAGAGATACCTCTTCGACAATCGGAGTGACAAATCCTAATCTCGAAATACGCCAACCCAATATGTACCTTTGGAGACACCTGTAGAGCTTTATAATCACCCAGTTACGTTGTGACGTTTGGTAGCACACAAAGTGTTCCTCCGGCAAACGGGAGTTGCATAATCTCATAGTCATAGGAACATGTACAAGTCATGAAGAAAGCAATAGCAACACACTAAACGATCAAGTGCTAAGCTAATGGAATGGGTCATGTCAATCACATCATTCTCCTAATAATGTGATCCCGTTAATCAAATGACAACACATGTCTATGGTTAGGAAACATAACCATCTTTGATTAACGAGCTAGTCAAGTAGAGACATACTAGTGACGTTTAGTTTGTCTATGTATTCATACACGTATTATGTTTTCGGATAATACAATTCTAGCATGAATAATAAACATTTATCATGATATAAGGAAATAAAATAATAACATTATTATTGTCTCTAGGGCATATTTTCTTCAGTGCTTTGTGATGGGTTCAATCTCGCGGTGTCCTCACCCAGTGACAGAAGGAATAGCGAGGCACGTATTTGTATTATTGCCATTAAGTATAAACATATGGGGTTTATTTCATATTGATTGGATCTATCCATCTACATCATGTCATATTGCTTAAGGCGTTACTCCTTTCTTGTTAACTTAATACACTAGATGCATGCTGGATAGCAGTCAATATGTGGAGTAATAGTAGTAGATGCGGGCAGGAGTCGGTCTACTTGTCACGGACATGATGCCTATATTCATGATCATTTCCTTAGATATCGTTATAACATTGCGCTTTTTTATCAATTGCTCAACAATAATTTGTTTACCCACTGTATGCGTTCTTTCAATAGAGAAGGCTCTAGTGAAAACTATGGCCCCGGGTCTATTTTTATCATATTATTTTTAGATCTATAAAACCAAAAATAAAAAATACCTTGTTGCAATTTATTTACCTTTACTTTATTTTGCATTTTTATTTATCTTTTATACCTATATCTATCAGATCTCATCCTTGCAAGTAACCGTGAAGGGATTGACAACCCCTTTATCGCGTTCGGTGCAAGTATTCGTTTGTTTGTGCAGGTGCTATCTTTGGAGACTTGTGTGTTCCTCCTACTGGATTGATATTGGTTCTTAACCGAGGGAAATACGTATGTCTACTTCGGTGCATCACCCGTTCCTCTTCAAGGGAAAAGCCAACACGAGCTCAAGAAGTAGCATGAAAAATTTCTCGCACCGTTGTCGGGGTGGTTCTACATCAAGGCTACCAAGAACATATCATAAACTCTCATCTCTTGCATTACATTATATTCCATTTGCCTCTCGTTTTCCTTTTCACCACTTCTAAAATGTTTTCAAAAAATAAATAAAAATATTTGCCTTTTTATTCACCTTCTTCACGTTCGTCTTTTGTTTGCTTGTGTGCTAGATTGCTTGCTTTGTCTAGATGTCTCAAGAAAATACTAAGTTGTGTGATTTTCCAACACTAATAATAATGATTTTATTAGTACTCCGATTGCTCCCGCGACAAGTCTGGAATCTTATGAAGTTAATGCCGCTTTATTGAATCTTGTTATAAAAAACAATTTTCTGGTAGTCCTAAAAAAGATGCTGCATCCCATCTAAATATTTCTATTGAATTGTGTGATATGCGAAATAAGAAAGATGTGGATGATGATATTGTCAAATTGAAGCTATTTTCGTTCTCACTACGAGATCGTGCTAAAACTTGGTTTTTGTCGTCGCCTAAAAATAGTATCGATTCATAGAATAAGTGTAAGGATGATTTTATTTCCAAGTATTTCCCTCCCACTAAGATCATCTCGCTTAGGAACGATATAATGAATTTTAAGCAATTTGATCATGAATATGTTGCACAATCTTAGGAGAGGATGAAATTGATGATAAGAAATTGCCCTACTCATGGTTTAAGTTTATGATAATACATTTTTTTATGATGAATTGAATTTTGCATCTAGAAGTCTTCCAGATTCTGGCGCGGGTGGTACTTATATGAAAATAATATTAGGAGAAGCTACTAAACTCCTAGATAATATTATGGAAAATTACTCTCAATGGCACACCGAAAGAGCTTCCCTAGTAAAAAGGTGCATGCTATTGAAGAAATTAATACTTTAGTGGAAAGATGGATGAACTTATGAAATTGATTGCTAGCAAGAGTGCTCCTATTGATACTAATGATATGCCTTTGTCCACTTTGATTGATAACAATAATGAATCTATTGATGTGAATTTTGTTGGTAGGAAGAATTTTGGTAATAATGCGTACAGAGGCAATTTTAATCGTAGGCCGTTTCCTAGTAATTTCTCTAATAATTATGGTAAATTACTACAACAATTCTTATGAAAATGATAATAATATACCCTCTAATCATGAGAGTAATATTAAAGGTTTTATAAACTCCTAAAAGATTTTCAATGCTATGGCAGAAGAAAAATTGCTTAAGATTGATGATTTGACTGTTCGATGATGGTTGACCAAGTCTTTTTTTCGCCGCTGCCCGTTGAATCCTCGTTGGGAATTCATCTATCTCGTTTTAACCGCGTGGTGAAACCTGGACAGATATGACGTGTGGGCTCGGGCTGGATCGAATTGACTGGGTGCCAGTTATTTCGGTGCGCGCGGGGCGGCCTCTCCTGCCGCGCCGCGTGCGAGCGCACGCGTCATGGGCGCAGCGGGCACAACCACAAACCCTACCCCCCAATCCACAGCCGCCACTCCCTCCCTCCTCCTCCCTCGTCTGCCGCCGCCACTCCCTCCCTGCTCGTCGCCCCTGTCTCCGCCCTAGGAGCTTCGCCGCCTCCCGCGCGCTCGTCCTCTCATCTCCCATGGAGGGGAGGGGTGGGGATGTAGGGGAAGGAGGAAGCCGGCGAGGAAGGCAAGCAACAGCGGGGAAGGAGCTGGGTGAGCGATCCTAGCGGGTAGGAAGGGGCAGGGTGATGCCTCGCGCACATGCCGGCGGCCGGCAGGTCGAATTGTCGCGCCACCGCGTCGTCGCCTCCTCTGCGCCATGAGGCGCCACCTCTGCCTCCACCCTCCACCGGGCAAGGAGCTCGAGATGAACAGGCGGTGGGAAGGTGAGAGGAAGCAGGAGCTATCTCTCCTTCAATGGCTGCCTTGTGCATCTGGAGTATAAGGAGGACAACACGTGCCTGTTGGAGGCGACTCGAGCAACGCAGGCCAGCGGCGAACTAGGTGCTCCACTGTTTCTCCCTCACTTCCTTCCTCACTCATATTTTACTTTGCTAATATCTGGATTTTTGAACTTGACGTGTGCAGATCTGACATAGAAGACCACGTTCGTCAGATTAGAAAGTGATCTTCTTCCAATGGCTTTAATGGTAATTAATAACCTCCTTTTGTGCTTCACCTCGTTCTTATATATGATGTACAGAGAATGCAGTTGTGTCAAGTTTGCTGACATCCTCGTGCTGCAACTGGTTTGGTATATTTGGTTAACCGTAACCAGCAAAGAGGAGTCGTCACATACGCGCCTTCTATTATTTATGTGGTTGTATGAAGTGTTCCTTCAACTAATCAAGCAACCTGACATTAGTACTTTGTTTAATTAATATCACTCTCATCAGAGAGTATGATATCATTTAGCTAGCCTCTTTTCTTTGCGGGATAGTGTAAAGGTGGAAGGTAACTCAAATCTGACGAGCATGGGAGTAGTGGCCACAGCTGGGCACCATGGGTTGGCCAAGGTGCTTCATGGTGAGGAACAGGCACGCCATCTTCTAACAATCAAATTATGAGAGAATCATCTATACTTGAACTAGAAAGGTCGATTCTGTGTCTTGTTTTTGTTTAGGAATATTAGCAAGTTGAGTAACCTTATTCTTTCTAAAATAGGGATATTCCTGAATGTTGTTTACTACTTCTATTATGTTGCTTATTTTTGTGGTTCCATTTGAACAGGATGTGCACTCTTGTCTCCGTCGTTATACCTATTTTGGAATCCATGGCAGCATGCTGTGCTTTGTCGGCACATTCGTGCATGTGTGAGGTCGCAGATGAAGAAGCACCGAATGATCATTATATTCTCCTCTGCTCTGATCTTCTATTGACATATGTAAGATGTACCTTATTTCCTGGTATTTCCTGAGATTCTGGACTGATTGTTTGACAGTGATTATTATGTAAAAGTGTTTTCAGTTGCTGTTTAGTATGGATGCCTCCATGGTTGCATAGGCAACCAACACATCGGCGGTTTCAAGGCTGGTCCTGGGCGGCGCCTCGTCAGCGTCGTGGATGGTTGGGCAGCGCCTTGGCATTCCAGAGGGGCGAAGTGGGCCGGCCAGCATGCGTGGGGCGCAAAGGTCACGAGCAGGAGGGAGATGCGCTGGAGGTGATGGAGGAGGAAGTCGGAGGTGGCATCAGCGTCCATGGCGACGCCACCCCGGGAACCCTCCTGCACACCTCGGCATGGTTCGTCTGTGCCACATGGTGGCCAAGATGCTGGTACCTCCTCTCTCTGGCTTCTCTCTTATTTGCTCCTTTTTCTCGGGGATGAGGGCGTCGGTGCATCATCAGGAGTGGATCAAGAGCGGACCGTAGCAGCAGGAGCAAGGATCTGGTGGTGGTTCATGGTTTGTCTTTACCTCCTCTCTCTTTCTATACTTGATTCTTTTTGTCCATCAAGAACCATGAAATTGTAAGTTGATATTCTTCTTAATATTTTTGCAGATATTGGACTGCATTACTAAATGTTCTAGGGTTGGAGAGAACTTAGGTGAGTGCTCAAGTTCTATGTGGATAACAATAACAAAAAATAAATAGAAATCCAAATCTCTAAAAAACTGACGGAATCATGTATATATATTTTTCTAGAATGTACTCTTTCTGATTCCTATTGTGAGATGTTCGTTTGTATGCTATTTTCTTCCTTTTGTAATTTCTTTTCTTTCTTTGGTGCTGCTTGAAGTGATATTTTGATATTCATTTTTTTCTGAAATTACAAGTCAGTCGCTTTTATTTTTGAGTATACATATTAACTGATGCACAACTGAATGCCATTTTATCTTGTGTGGCATAATGATGGTAGAGATTTGAAGCCAACCCAGAACTATTAGTGATTCTGACAAGTGGTGCTCTAATATTCAGTTGTTTTCTGAAATTAAATTTAGTTAGTTTTGTGTTTGAGTACAAAAATAGTACAAAAAAGTGGTGTTCTAATATATTTTTGTGTTAGGAAATTAGAAGTTATTTCTTTTTAGTTGAAGCCCATCCAAGTAGCATTTTATTGTGTCTGTAGGTCTACCCAGTAATGTGAGTCAGTGTATCGATTTGCCAATTCTTGATCAGTATATAAAAATTCTTGAGCTGACGTGATGCCTGCAATGCTTTTTTTGTCTCCGCTATTTTCTTCCTTTAGTGTACTAACTGTTTTTATTCCCAGTTTCTGGTTTCTGTGTGCATAGTAGGTTCAGAATCAATTTCTAAAAACACAAACTTTGCCATGTTTTCTCGCCATCATCCACCTCCTGGTCCTTGTTCGTAACCCCTCTCTGCCAATTTGAGAGACTGTTCTGTACTTCCAGAGAAATACAACTTATTTATTAGGTTTCTCAGTTTCTCGAATATGCAGTATAGCTGCTAATGCTTCTTCGTTTTGTTGTATCATTTCTGCATATGTAATTTTAATTGACAGAGAGGGTGGAGAGGAGAAACGGCTGCGCCGGACGGTGCTCGTCATGATGTTCCTGTGAGTACCCTCCCCCCACCTTAGTTGTTGTTCTCCTTGTTTACCCCATAACGGCGGCTTCGCGCGGATCTGCGCCTCCATCCATCGCAGGGAGAGGAGGGCTAGAGCAGTCACCGTAGAGCAGGGAGGCGGCTGGAGTTGTCCGTTATTGAGGAAAGAATGGCAGCTCGGGGAGACTTGAGGCAGCGGTGGCGGGGAGTGTGTGTGTGTTCAGAACAGATGTGTTTTCAGAACTTATTACTTTTGATACACTGCCCCTTTATGTTGAGCAGATGCGGATCATATTTAGGGAGATTAAGATGCTCAAGACCAAGGTCCGCTCCACATGAAATTTTATTTCTCTAATGAGATTTCTTGAACTTACTTGTACAAAGATGAGCACAACAATTCCCTTCACCAGTGTCTTTTTGTGCCAATGTTTTGCAGGAATGCAGACTGAAGGCTGCCAATGATACCCTTCAAGAAAGGGTACTATACTCTAACCCAGATTCATTTTAAAGAAACAACACTATTTGAGATGTTACGTTTTGATTTTAGGATAGCAAAACAGTTTAAGCATTTAGGCTTGACCAAAGCATGGTAGAAAGGGAATCATTCATAGGAGTGGTAGACAATCTTATTGCCAGTCTTTTATATTCTATAGCCATGGACGTGCCAGTAAAAGGTAGTTTTGCATATGATTCAGGGATGCAAGCGGGTCAGGCCATCTACCCACCATAGCAACATTTTTAAAGTAGGCCAACATTATTCTTAATGTCTAAACATGTTTCCAAACATTCTATATACTCCCTCCGTCTGGAAATACTTGTCGGAGAAATGGATAAAAATGGGTGTATCTAGAACTAAAATGCGTCTAGGTACACTCATTTCTCCGACAAGTATTTTTGGACGGAGAGAGTATTATTTGAAGGTATGCCCATGATGAGGTTTCTTCATTCTATCTTCTGTAGCAATAGTTTCCCTCTTTTGTTCTTCCAAAAACAAGCAACTGTGTTTGGGCATAATCTGTACACAGTCAAATCACACCTTAATTTTGCGTGTCTCAGATTTGAGTCTAACCTGCAACATCTATTGGAACTGGCTCTCTGTCCATGGAATCTCATCCATCATCCATACATAACGAATTGGTATGGTATATTCATACCATAACATAAGAACAATAAGAACTCGGATTCTTATCGATACTGGAACTCAGAGCATAGGAGGGAAAGTCGATTTATGGAAGGAATCAAATACGCAGTATTTACAGAAAAAAGTCTTCGTTTATTGGGAAAGAATCAATATACTTTTAATGTCGAATCGGGATTCACCAAGACAGAAATAAAGCATTGGGTCGAACTCTTCTTTGGTGTTAAGGTGGTAGCTGTGAATAGCCATCGACTACCTGGAAAAGTGAGTCTAATTGTATTGTTTTTTCTAATTTCATCTGTTTGACTACTTTGATGCTTTGGAGTTTATCCCATGAGTGCATCTGCAACAATTTGGTATCTGGTTTTTATTCCATTTCCTTACAATTCACAGTAAGCCTTCTTGAATAAATCACGGTGTGACCTAATATTATGGTCGCTGGTCAATTATAGCGGCACAATTCAAGGATGAGACGCGAACTTGGTTTCAAGCTTGACAAGCTTGTGATGCTCATGCATAGCAGATGTTCGTATTGTAATCAAGTTATGCTATGCGTCCAGTCAGTATCCACTCCTAAGTTATCAAATTATGCTAGGTGTTTACAATTGTTGATTATTACGGTCTTTAGTTGTCACTTATTGAACTTGGAGTCTTTCTGAAATTTGCTTACAGCTGCGGCTATTAATTTTTTAATGCAATCTTATAATGTTATGTACTCTTAATTTTCCAGAATGCTTTTAAAGATGTGAGAGTGCAACTTAATATAATTTGAAGTTAACTGTACATGACTATTTTTTTGCAGCCCTAACAGATAAATGGAAGCATCTATTGGGTGGTACTCTCACTACTTAGCAAAGAGAATGAAGGGTCAACATTTACGGTCATGCTGCCCATGCTTTGGAAAAAAGGCAAAAATGTTTTACGGCTCAAGCATGGGAAGTATAGACCAAAGAATGTGGTTTACAGTTTCCCTATTTTGTTGGATCAACTAATGTGTTGCTTTGTTGCTTCATGTGAGTGATGTATGTAATCAAGAACCAGGAAAGCATACTAGTATATTGCAATCCCAAAACTTAGAAAAATGCCCAAACCTACATATTTGTAATTAACATTTAGCGCTACATGTTGCCATTGGGTCATTCTATCATGTGATGTTCTTATACAAATATGTTGTTTTCTCAATCTTAGATCTCTCAACGTAATAACCATATTTTCAACTAAAAATGCTTTCTTAACTGGTCTATACATGTTATACAAATATGTTTTTTTTTCAAACTCAAATTTCTCATCATGATCAACATATTTTCAATATAGCATGTTTTGATACTTGGCCTTACTATAATATGTCCTTGCAAAATGAAACTATTTTCATCGACAACATGTTTTTAGGGGGTCTCTACGCCATTTGGCGCAACGGGTCAACTAGTTTCTATTAATGAAAGTAGGGAGAGAACCGCTAGGATGCGTGCTAAGAGAGAATGGTTCAAAAAACTATGTTCTTCTATTTTTCGCGATAATTATGATGAAGATCTTAAAGTGATTGATGTGACTCCTATTGAATCTTTCTTTGCTAATATAAAACTTGATAAAAGTGGGATTGGTGAGGTAAAAACTTTAACTAGTGATGAGCCCACTTTTTTGGATTTCAAGAACTTTAATTATGATAATTGTTCTTTTATTAATTATATTTCTTTGTTGCAATCCATGCTTAATTAACCTCATGCTTATAATCAAAATAAAGATTTTACTAAACATATCGTTGACTCTATGATGAAATCTTTTGAATAAAAACTTGAGTTGGAAGTTTTAATCCCTAGAAAGCTTTATGATGAGTGGGAACCTACTTTTAAGATTAAGATTAAAGATTATGAGAGCAATGCTTTGTGTGATTTAGGTGCTAGCGTTTCCCCTATTCCAAAAAATTTATGTCATGTGCTAAGTTTCCATAAACTTGATGATTGTTCGTTAAATTTGCACCTAGCGGATTCCACTATTAAGAAACTATGGGAAGAACTAATGATGTTCTTATTGTTGCAAATAGGAATTATGTGCCTGTAGATTTTCTTGTGCTTGATATAGATTGAAATCCTACATGCCCTATTATTCTTGGTAGACTTTTCTTTAGAACGATTGGTGCAATTATTGATATGAAAGAAGGAAACATTAGATTTCAGCTTCCATTAAGGAAGGGCATGGAACACTTTCCGAGAAAGAAAATTAAGTTACCATATGAGTCTATTATGAGGGTTACTTATGGATTGAATATCAAAAATGACAATACCTATATCTATGCACTATGCCTAGCTAGGGGCATAAAACAATAACGCTTGTTGGGAGGCAACCCAATTTATTTTTTATGTGTTTGCTTCTGTTTTTCAATAAATATGCAATTATACTTCTGTTATGATTCTGTTTTAGTGTTTTAGTTAGTGTTTGTGCCAAGTAAGACCTTTGGGATGATTTGCGTGATAGTTGATTTGATTCTGTGAAAAAACAGAAACTTTTGTGCTTAGCTCTGGAATTTTGTAAATGCATAAAAATGTTTTCTTGATCTGAATGTTTTACACAAGATTGATATACAAATTGCCTACGTTGTCCTAATTTTCCAGAATTTTTGAAGTTGCAGAAGTTTGGCTAAAGTCCAGCTTACTACAAACTATTCTATTTTTGACACATTTTGTATTCATTGTGTTGTTTACTTATTTTGATGAATCTATGGATAGTATCGGGGGGTATGTGATAGCCCACAAGTATAGGGGATCAATTGTAGCCTTTCTCGATAGGTAAGAGTGTCGAACCCAATGAGGAGCTAAAGGTAGAACAAATACTCCCTCAAGTTCAATCGACCACCAATACAGCTCTACGCACACTTAA